AAAAAACACACACACAAATATGACAGCGCTGAAGAGCCCTTCTATTTTAGAAACACCTAATACAGTATCTCCAGCTTGAGATGATGTCCGGAACTTGCGGCCCACACCATCCGGCAGACAGAGGGGCAAGGAGGACAGGGGTAACCAGGCACACGTGAAAGGAGACAGGCAGTGCGACGCTGGGAGATGAATGAACAGTGCTTAGAATCTGCCATGAGCAAAGCTGTTTTTCTGGTTGTTGTCGTTTTAATAAACTACACTTATGCTCCAGGTTGTCAGAAGTCTAGCATTCAACAAGATTAATAAAGTGGGCTGTCTAGACCATGTTTGTGCCTGATGTTATGTCATTGGCTATCACAACCACTTTAGTATGTCAAACCAAAAAAACTGTATCAATTTGATCATTTTCAAAGTGTTGAGAAAGCAATAACATCCTTCATTAAAAATAAAAGTGTAAGTTTCCTCCATACAAGCAAATTAACTTTTGCATATACTGCTAATATTGCCTTAAGCTATCTTTTAAGTTTTCTTATCGTGCAGCACAAAGTCTCAGACATTATAAAGTTCAATTATTTGCCAATTAAACTGACAGGAAAGGGTACAGAGCTGCAGGAAATGCTAATTACAAAGCATCAAGGATAGTAAGACTCCCTTTCTACAACACATGTGAAAGTGTATATACCAATGCAGGAAGAATGATCTCCTAGACACATCACAATTGTCAACAAGAGTAGTCTCTAAAGCGACAGGATCAGGTGCCTCGCTATACTTTTTCTCTGATCATATACACTTTTAAACTTTTCTAAAAACATCACATATTAACTAGGTAAAACATCTATGAAATGTAAGAATAGGAGAAAAATGTGTAAGCATATGAAAAGTGGCAAATAAAAAAGTTGTGCAATTCTATCTATGTTTGCAATGGGACAGTATGTCCCTCTGACACTACTTCAGAGACCATGGCCCATACAACACTGCAGTTCCTCAACAAGTTAAGACATCAGTCAGAATGTACAGATTGTGGTCAAATATATTTGGGAAATATATTAAAATCTAAATTAAAACTTTATAACAGATTTCTCTAATTTTAAATTCAAAGTTCATATTCTGAAGAGAATGAATTATAGAGCTGAATGTCAATGTCCAGCAAGATACATGTTTATACTGAGTGTAGTTAATAGTTAGAAATAAGGGACTGGATAAGTTACTTGACCTCTTTTAAGCCTTCATTACTGTTAGAAGAGTAAAAATTATCTTTTGTGATTTTTGCACAGTCTGAATACAACACTGAACAGATCATAAATGTGGTTAACACCATCTGGCCACTGCTACTAGAAGCCCTCGAATGGCCATCTGATACCGAGTGCACATCCCTTCACTTCAAGCAAAGAGCTCTAACCAGAGTTGCTGAGTCCCACTGGACATTCTCAGAAGACCCAACACCCGACTTTGATCAACTGTAGACAGCTCACCCTTTTCATGGATCATAGCCTGGTCGTGTCCAGTAGTCCTGTACGGATGTGACAGGTGGGCCATAAAGAAGGCTGAGCACCAAGAATTGATGCTTTCGAACTGCGGTGTTGGAGAAGACTCTTGAGAGTCCCTTGGACTGCAAGGAGATCAAACCAGTCCATCCTAAAGGAAATCAACCCTGAATATTCATTGGAAGGAATAACGCTGAAGCTCCAATACTGTGGCCACCTGATGGGGAAGAGTCAACTCACTGGAAAAGACCCTGATGCGGGGAAAGACTGAGGGCAGGAGGAGGCAGCTGCAGAGGACGAGATGCTTAGATGGCATCACTGACTCCATGCACACGCATCTTAGCAAACGCCAAGAGACAGTGGCGGACAAAGAGCCTGGTGTGCTGCAGTCCATGGCGTCACAAAGAGCTGGACACAACTGAGCAGCTGAACCACGGCGGCAGCAGACATCTCACGCACTAACATTTTCAGCTGGGAGTGGAAGTAGAAAGACAAGCACAGCTCCCTGTCAGTTATGAAGTGTGAATAAGTTCTTGTCCTCAGGCTCCTGAAATTACCCAGTACCATTCCTCTGGGTATTTATATACAATGACAACGTAATTCTGAACTAACAGCAATCCAGGAAAATGAAAAATATAAAGTAGCATATTCATTCCCTTGCTTAAAACCAACAGCTTAGAATGACACAGTACTGCCTATCTTTCCCAAAGAACTGAAAACACATAGAATTTATCATTTTCTGTATTCATAAAAACTTTGGGGAGGGTAAAGGAGAGAGGAACATCTATGTCTTTCATTTACTACCTACACATTCACCCCTTCTCAGATTTTTTTTTTTTCCCCAGTTCCTATTCTATGCCAAGTACTCATCAAACAGCAGAGGAAATACTCCGTAAAACAGACATGGCATGCCCTTACTGAGAGATCAGCAAACAGCATTCCATCATTAATACCATGGACAGTCAACAAGTTAAGATTTTTCCAGGTTCTCAGCTTTTACGTAAACTGACAACTCTGCAAGAAAAAGTTTAGTCTTCCTTTAAACACATGGAATATGCTTCAATCAGCCTTATTATTCACTTCAATATTTTTTGGTCTCCATCTATTTTTCATGTTCTTTTTCAAAATAACAGCCAAGCAACAAGTGATAGTACCTTCCATTTTGACGTAAGTTCTATTAACATTTTTATGAACTCAATGAGCAGTGCAGAGTAAACCAAAATGACACGGTTGACAATTTAGTATGCAGAGATTTAAATTAATATTACAGAGACACTCTTGGCATTATAAGTCTACACAAAAATTCTTCACCATAATATCAAACATACGGTAGCCATTCAAATTACCTGGATATTCCCAAAGTATATTCATCTATAGCACTTAATAAAACTAAAAATGCAATCTACAGTCAAAATTTTGTTGGTGTCTTAATCACTGCTTTCATGCATTATCTGTAATCTTGAAGGTTTTTTTAATTTCATTAGGCAACAGTACAAATTAAAAAAATATAATGTGTTAACCACTTCTGTTTGTGCTTAAGAACAAACTGGACAAGACAGAACATGGACACATCAACCATCAGAGAACCAAAACAAAAAAGCTGTGAGAATATGGGATATTCAAAGGTCACAAAGCAACAACAAAGTATTGTCATTTCCAAAGCTTAAAAAACTGTAGTACTCCTCCATGATACAACGTAAGAGTTTAAACAGAAAAGGTACTAACAGTGTAAAGAAAATTTATTAAAGAGCAAGCGTTGACATGAATCGATTACTATGTGTCAGAACACCATGCTACGTGCTCTACAACTTCAGTGATCCTCACGGCCATCAGTGACTTCACCACTCCCGCTTCACCCGGCACCAAGAGGTGAAGTCATCTGCTAAAATCACAAAGCTGCCAAGTGACAGAAGCAAGGTTCAAATGACAGCAAGACGGTTACAGAGGTTACACTCTTAACCACTCTACTGTATCGAAAATGATGGCACGCTCCAAGTTCAACCTGACCGAAAACAGCACTCGCAATGTCTCATCACAGGGTTCCAAGCGCTCCTCCTCAATGTGTGTGTGTGAGTGGAGGGCCGGTCCTACACAACTGGTAGAGGCTGAGGAGAGGGCAAAACATGCTTTGTTAACTGATATAACAACTTGTTTAACTGATGAATACACTCATCTGTTGGTGAAGATTTGTCCTTCAGTCGTTGAGAGTTTGTCTTATTGTATGCACCTAGGCTATTAAATCAGCATTACTTAATGCAAAGCAACCATAAGCGCAAACATGGGAACCAAATCTGCATGGCAATACAAGACTGCCACTCAGCTGAGTCACAAAGTGATTCAATTATTTTAAGATCCTAATAAAAATGATTGTTTTAAATACAACTGCTAAATATGCTCAGGGAGAACTCACATGCTTTCCTCAAAATATCTTTATACTCATCTGACAAGAACAGCTTAAAATAAAATTTATAGATAATTAGTATTATTGAGGGCCTCTCCCCTTAGCTTAACTACTAAGTCATTATTTATCTGTAAGGAGAGAAAAATGCTTTTGACCCAGTCAGCTAATGGGAGAGTTTAAATGAAATGAGGTGAGAGCTGAAAAAGCAGCCTATCCGAATGAAGTCAGAGTACTTTACAGGTTTGGCTTTCACTCCGTAAGCTCCACAGAGGGATTCAATGCACAACACACTCCGGCAAAGCTGCCCACAGCTCCATTTGATGTCTCTTTCAAGGCAATGTATTTAAAAATCAAACACACAACAAACCCTTCCTAACAATACATTTAATCTTTGGCAATCAAAACCTACGTTATTCTTAAAAAATATGTCAAACATATTTCACACAGATAGAATTCAAAGAATTCTGCCTCATAGTATCACTGGATAAAAGGAAACAGGCAAATAAAACCTTCTGAAAAAACAGTATTTAAGGCAGGTAAGTAGGTGTTCATCAACTGAACTAGAAAAATAAGAAGTGGCAAAAGGAAAAAAACCAGAAAACAACAACAATATACTTTAAAGTAAAATGTCTGGAAAACAAACTCAACGTGAAATGCTGGTAAAAACAAAGATGACTCACATATGGCTAGTTACAAGCCTTCCCCCATGTTTACTCACTCTCCTGATGAGATGACATAAATCCAAAGGAATTCATTTGATTCTTCTCATTTAAATCTCATCAAGAGAAACATTTTAGATTTTTCAAAGTTCAGTTACATCTTTAACACATACAACGTTAAACACTCTAACTTCCAAATTGGCAGCTTCTCAAGTGTAAAAATCAACGCGAATATGATGAATTAACTGATATTAGCTAGGTAAATGAAAAGTAATGATAATCAAAAAGAGAAAATCATGACACCACCTTTAAAAAGTTAAAAATTTTCTGACATGAAATAACATATAGTGCTTTAAGATCTAGATATTTTGTTATTAAAATTCAAAATATGTTAGTACATTTATAACATATAAGTACATTATTATACTTTATATGGCCCCATTCTGAAGGACTTACCTTCTTCTTATCCCTCATTGAGCCTTTGCCTCGGACCATGATCTTACATCCTGTTTCTGCTTCAAGCTGTTTAGCAGTAAGTCCTCTAGGTCCAAGGATTCTCCCAACAAAATTAAACTGGGGGGGGGAGGAAAAAAACACCGTGCATTATTCATTTAAAGTTATTTTAAAGTATATACTTAACTTTCTCCAATTAAATTTTTTAAAATATTAAGTTGAAATAAAATCTTATCAGTTTCTTGCCAAGTTTGGGGGTGTAATGACAGCAGTTCATGGTTTAGCTTTAAATTTTCATGTGCATTAATACAAGTCATGGATTAGAATAGCCGAATCTATGTAAAACAGGTGCTGTATTTAACTTCCCATCAACATGCACACTCTAAACAAGTGTACATGAAAAGTTCAACAAATCCCTTCTATGACAGGGTTCCAGGAGCTATTTATTATGTTAAAAAGTGGCTGCCTTTTATACAGAAATCCCTGGGGGAAATTCCTCTCTTATTGATCTAATCTATACTTCAGCAACTGTTCAGAGAACATTGTATTTTGGGGCTGGCTGCCAGAACACTGATGGCCAAAGTTGGATTCCACACTATACTAACTATTTAAGACATAAGAGTCTACATTTTTTCCCCACAATCCTTGCACAATTTTATATGTGCATTCTTGTTTTCCTACTTCCCATCTCTACCTTCAGTTTGTACCACTACTTTAACAAAGAACTTTAACTCTTGTCACAAAAAGAACAGTGATAAAAAATAACTATAATTATCATCCCACCACAGAAACTTCTAATATTCATACACAGAAGTTAATTTTTTAAAAGGCCAATGAGAGGAACAGATTGACTACGAACACTGAAAGGTATTTTCCTTATTCATATGTCATCTACATAAAAGACAGAAAAAAGAATGTTTATATCATCAGTTCCACAAAGATCCATGGGTGGTTTTTATCTGTTTATTCAAACGTTACTAATACCTATGCTTCCTACTTTTTCCTGCATTTTACCCCTACGGTTAGTGTATCATCACATAAGGCTAACACGCCAGAGGTCATTGCTCTTGGGGCTTGAGGAATCAGGCCCCTCCTCAGCCTTCTGAGCTCCGGAGGCTGCTTGCTTCGCCTCAGCTGCTCAGCAGCACTGCTACATCTTACAGAAGCGATTCTCAAGTGAAAGATGTGTGTGTACATGTTTGAGGATGGAAGAAAGTCCTCTTCCCTAGGGGATTATGATATCAGTTCTTCCACCCCAAGCAAAGACTCTCAGGTCCTTGACCCAGGTATACAAGACTCGAAACTCTGAAACTTGCCTGAACCATCTCTTTGCATTCAAATAGAACCCTTTACCTTGCCTAGTTTTTGGCATATAGGACTTGATCTACCTCTTCACCCAACTAAACCCTTGCTGTCATCCAGTCGAGAGCCCTCCTCCCATACCTCCAATCTAAATAAACTGAAGTGCTGTACTTGAAGTACTGCACGTGTAAATGATTACACGTTTATACTTGGAAAGCACACAGACCCCAGATGGTATTCAAGCTCCAGTAGTAAGTCATCAGTAAGAATCGGGAAGGTGTATGAAACGAGCCTCAGTCACGTGATGGAGACAAGCTATCTGGAACTGCTGTGATGAGGGCTGCATGTGTGCACAGCACAGTAGATACGAACGTCCAATACAAAGTCCACACAGTGCGTCACAGTCTATGAAGTCTACTACAAATTCACTTCAGGAAGCCTCAGGCCCTCAATCAACAAGTCAGCTCAGAATGTCCATGGAAAGGGATATGATCAAATAGCAAATTTGCCCTACAGAACTCCAGAGAGACCAGGAACTCCCGCATTGAGTTCTGCAGAAAACCAGAAGGATGGCAATGATATACACAGGACAAACCCTGCCCAAAGACTATCAATAGCCAGGCATCTAACTTGCAGGTATCAGGCTTGAGTTTTCATCTCTAGAAAAGCTGCCTGAAAAAAAGACTCTCACACTGTAGCATTTGGCTCCATTCTCAAAGGCTGACACTTCGCTTCAGGTGATCAAGTCCCACTGAACCCTGCAATAAGCAAGCCCAGTTCAAGAATACGAGCTTCTAATTCAATTCTGTGCTTCATACTTAAGTATGTATAGACAAAGTTCACCAAAGACTTGAGGAATACTCTAACTTGAGGAAGTCTCTTGCATGCAAGAGTGTACATACTAACGCAGGACAAAGGATTGTCCCATTAGGGAAAAGACTGCTGGTAAAGGAGACTGCTGTTCAGTGGCTTAGTCGTGTCCCACTTTGCCACCCCATGGACCGCAGCATGCCAGGCTTCCCTGTCTTTCACCATCTCCCGGAAAATGCCCCAAAATTCCTTCAGTAGACAGCACTAAACTACTTTCTAAATCGGTCATCCACAGTTACATTCCCAAAAGAGGAGAGGATTTCGCTCTGATACACTTCAATACTTCTTATGTTTTTGGTCATTCAGATGTATATTTTTTGAAGCACATGCGAAGTTTTCAGACTATTCTATATTGTGTTGTTTTGCTTTCTTACTGATTTCCACTTTGCAGTCACACGTGTGGCAAATACCTTTTCCCTTCCTGTGGCTTGCCATTTTGGTCTTTAATGGTGTCTTAAGATGATTTAATTTAACCAGACTGAATTGAATTAAATTACAAATAATTTTAATGCAGCTGTCTTAAAAGAAGTCTTTCTCCATCCCAAGGTCATCAAGATACCCTTCCTTCTGTATTAACTTTCAGAAGCTTTATTGTCATGACTTTCTCATTTATGTCCCCAGTGTGCCAGAAAGTGACGCCCATGATGAGAAAACCACCTCCTCTTCTCCTGTTCTCTCATGTGGATACCCAACTGTCCCACGTGTTGCTGAAGAGACTATCCTTTCCCCCGATCTACAATGCAATGCTATTTCTTGTCGTAACTAACATCTATACATGTTTATATATATGGGTCTACTTCTGGGTTCTCTTATTAATCTACTTGGCTCAGTATCTCACTATCATTTAATGTAACTTTATTTTCAAAATCTTAATACGCAGGATGGCATGTTATTTCACCTTGCTCCTCTTTCAAAGGTGTCTCAGTCTTTGTGTGTCTATACAGATTTCAGAAATAGGTGGTCAATTTCTAAAATGTTCTAGCAGTAACTTTCATTGGGATATTATAACAATATTCAGGATCATGAATGTGGTGTAAGCGTTTTTTGATTTCTCTCAAGAATACAAAGCTTTCTTAGTGTGCCTCTGCTTTTGTTAGATTTATTCCAAGACATTTGGGGCTTCATTTTTGCTACTGTAAATTATATTTTTCTTTTTTTTAACATGTGAAATCATAATTCATCTTTTTTATCATACAGTATACCCAGCAACTCTGTTTCTTCATTCTAATTTTTCTGTAGATTCTTTTGGATCCTTTTGGTGAAGATTCGTATCACTTGCAAATAAGAAAAAAGAAAAAATATATAACTGTTAATCATATTTTTAATTTCTTTTTCTGGCCATCCTTACAGCACTGGCCAGCACATCTTGAGTTCAAAGTCAAATAAGGTATGTTATCCTTGACTTGTTCCTGATTTCAAAAATGAAGTTTTCAGTAGGCCACTATGAAGTCTGAAGTTATCTGTCTATACTTGAGCAGATGAAGAAAATTCCATTCTATTCCCTAGTTCACTAAGAGTTTTTATTTTTAGTCATGAGAGGATGTTTAAATGTATCACATTTTTTCACCATCTATTAAGACAATCATATTTCTCCTTTATTCTGGTAACACAATGGATTACAATTCATTATCAAATGTTAAACTACCCTTATATAGTTCTATAATAAACTTGATCATGATGCATTATCTTTTATTATAAATCACTAGGTTCAGTTTGTTGGCACTTTAAATTTACATTCAGAAATGGAACTGGCTTGTAATTTTCCTTTTTCATGTTTCTCGGGGTTTAGGCATCATGATTGTTCTAGACCCATAATGTGCTGAGATGTAATCCCCTTTTTCAACTCTCTGGAATGGCTTGTAGAGGCTAACGTGTACTGTCTCTTCTTTACATACTGAAGAGAAATCAGTGGTGAGGGCACCTGGGTCTAGAGTTTTTTTTTCTCTGTTCAGGTTTTCAATTACGGATTCTGTTACTTAATTCAGATTTCCTATTCCTTCATATATTAATTTTGGTAACTTATGTTTATCTAGAAATATGTCAATATAGTTTAAATTTTCAAATTTGTTGATACAAAGCTTTCGTAGACTTTTCTTCTTCGTATCTATAGGATCTGTAACAATGTACCCACTTCAATCCTGATTGGCTATCTATGTTGTCCCTTCTCTTGATCAGGTCCTTCCAGTCTTTACAATGAATGTACCTTTTCTTTTGCTGACAGGGGTAGACTGATTTCAAAAATGACCACAACGACCCATTCATCCCTAAAAGTAACCTATGTCATTTGCAGTATAATTCAGCAGCTCCTCTCACCTCCTGAATCTGGTAATAGCATGGTGACTGGCTTTCCAATACAATGTATGAAAAGAATAATATATGTGTTAAAAGCCTAACTCTCAGTCTTATGTGTACTTCCTCTCTTAGGCCCTGTTATTCCCATGTAACAGTCTCAGACTAACCCACTTGAGAATGAAAGACAAGCAATCTAGTCCCCATCCACACCAGCCCACAGACAGGTCACTAGTAAGAGCAGAGGGGCCTGACCACAGGGGCCGATCAGAACTGCTGTGGTGAGCCCAGCCTAAACGACCAGCCTGCACAAGAGAAGCAGGTGCTAAATACATGGTGGTTGTTTTAACAGAAGTTCCTGGGGTAGTTCATTAAAACGCAGTAGTAGCCAGCCAATACATTGATTTTCTTCATTTTGTGATAGTTTTCAGGGGTCTTAAATTAATTTCTACTCTTACCTTTATTATCTTCCTTCTACTTCTTTTACGTTTAACCTTATGTATTTTTCCCAATTATGAAACGAATGCTCAGCTTATTGCACCCTTTCTTCTTTTCTAATAAATATACTTTTAAAGCTTTAAGTATTCCTCTAAGCTGGCTTCAGCTGTATCCCAAAATTTTGAATATGCAGTATGCTGCTATCATTCAGGCCAAATAAC